TATATATATATATATATATTCCAAATTAAATGCGAACCTCCATAGGTACGTGCCAAGCACATGCATCTTTTTGTCCTTTAGAATATATTACAAACAATAAAGGGTAGCGATAATATAAAAAATCAAAAGTTTCGTAGGCCTTGTATTATAAGTACAATTTATTTTTTTTTGCAAATTATTGATCTTAATGAAGTATTAGTATATGATAATAAGTTTTTTGGTACTCGACTAACAAAAAAAATCTTTACTATTACATTATTTTGGACGCTTGGATGTTGTTAATTGTCATCGTATCGACGACATAAAACTATATTTATATGTAACTATATTTTATGTTGAAGAATATCATTATCAATTTATTGAAAAAAATAATTAAATTCAAATATATTTCGTAGAATTTACAACCACATTTTATAATATTATTTTTTAACCTTACCATAAATTTCAAATGCTAAATTATGATATCCAACTTATCGTGGCTTAAATCATCATCATCATCATCATCATCATCATCATCATCATCATCATTATTATTATTATTATTATTATTATTATTATTATTATTATTATTATTATTATTATTAAACCCCAACTTGTTCCCCTTAAGAGCCGCCTCTGGTCTGGATTCGACTAACCTGCCCCGTTTACTTATTGTAACCAAAAAAAAAAAGTAATGATCGAATTCAGACATAAAATACCACAAATTCACTTTTATTAAACATTTGAATATATAGAAATTTGAAATAATTCATAAAAATAAAATAAAATAAAGGCCTCCAAGTTGGACCGCTGTTTCTCTATAAAGGGATTCAACAAGACTTGATATTTCTTCACCCAACACCACCATCGAAATCAAACAAATGAAGATGGAACCCTCTTCCTGCAAATGGAAAACCCTAATAATAGCATTGGGGTGTATCTTCTTCGTTAACGTGTCTCTGTCGAGTGCTCAGCTCTCTCCCTCTTTCTACGACAAAACATGCCCTAAGGTCTTCGATGTCGTAAGCAACACCATCGTCGACGCCTTGAGATCCGACCCTCGCATCGCCGCAAGCATCCTCCGTCTCCACTTCCACGACTGCTTTGTCCAAGTAACAAAAATAACATAGAGTTATGCGTGTTTATCACTCATTTTTTAATAGAAAAATTATGAATTTGGTTCGTTTCGTAATTTGTTTCTATTTGGTCTTTTCGTTTTTTATATTCGATTCGGTTTAGATTTAGATTTTTCAATTTTCAAAAATCTATAAGCATTCAAAATTTACGTTGGATTTCAACTTGATTCAGTTCGGTTCAGTTACTTAACCGAAATGATAACCCCTTTGTTTAAGTACATATACTTAAAGTAGAAGGCTAAATACTTCATTATAAAGAAACAATGGTTAGTTTTCGGGTTAATTATAATCGATTTAGCTAATTAAAGAGTGCTAATCATGATGTTTTGGATAAGTTGTATCATTCAAAATAAGAAACTGTTGAAGTTAATATCACGCGACAGTTTTTTTATAGACTATCACATCGGTTAGATGTAAACGACATAAATTCAACTAGGCCCGTTCCATTATTATATATATATATATATAGATAGATAGATAGATAGATAGATATTAAAATCAATTAATGCGTGGACCGTCCAAAAATGTCCACGTTACGAGCACAAGGACAGACCCGTGATGTCGGTAGATCCAAAAAGTCTATATAATGACATGAACCAATGAGATTTTTTTAGAAAAAAAAAACTATTATGTATGCAATCAATTATCTAATGAAAGGATTAGTCACATGGTTATAATGTTTTTTTCTTTATGACAGCTATTCTTAATTATTGGAGATTAGGGTTTGAACCCAAATTCTCATTAATCTTAAATCGGTTATCCACATAGGTTTGATTGGTTTTGTACGTATTTCGAATTTAGGGTTGCGATGCATCGCTCCTGTTGGACACCACGACGTCGTTTACGACCGAGAAAGACGCGTTGGGGAACGCAAACTCAGCTCGAGGGTTCGACGTGATCGATACAATGAAAGCCGCTGTGGAGAGAGAGTGCCCAAGAGTCGTTTCTTGTGCCGACATGCTCACCATCGCTGCCCAAAAGTCGGTCGAATTGGTAAATATATATAATAATGTTTCTAATTAAATGATACAAATAGGAGAATATAATGTGATGATGATACTATATGGTTTGTTTATTATAATATATAGTCGGGAGGCCCTTCGTGGAAAGTTCCGTTGGGAAGAAGGGACAGTTTACGGGGGAACGTGACACTTGCAGACGAACGGCTTCCTGCCCCCTTCTTCACTCTCCAACAACTCAAAGATAGCTTTAGAGCCGTTGGACTCGATCGAGCTTCCGATCTTGTCGCCCTTTCTGGTAATCCTTTTTTTATGTTTTTTTTAATCCTTATTTTGGTTAATATTTATAATTACAATATAATTTACAATTTTTTTTCATAAAAAAAATAATAATTTTCGTAATCATTTGCGTATCCGAGTATCCAATTGTCTTGTTGTGTTAGTCTTGTTCATGGGTTTGATTTGAAATGTCAACAACTATATATAATCATTAATAAATTAACATTAATAATAATTTTGAACTAAGGAAAAAAATAGGTACAATAGCCTAACAAAAATATAAATTTTTAAAAATTATCATATAAATATACAAATTTGAAACTTCTGCCAAAATATATCCAATTTGTAAATATTGCCGTAAACCCACATCTATTTATGTATAGCAATTTTTGAAAAATCATATATTTTTAGGCTATTGTACCGAAAAATTTAATAATTTTTTTTTATTGTGGGTATCCTTTGTTAGGTGGCCACACATTCGGCAAGAACCAATGCAGATTCATAATGGACCGTCTATACAACTTCAGCAACACAGGCGAACCAGACCCAACCCTCGACCGATCCTACCTCAGGACACTCCGACAGCTCTGCCCGCAGAACGGAAACCTGAGCGCCCTCGTCGATTTCGATCTCAAGACGCCGACGGTTTTCGACAACAAATACTACCAGAACCTCAAGGTCGAAAAGGGTCTGATCCAAAGCGATCAAGAGCTCTACTCCTCGCCGGACGCGACCGATACGGTTCCATTGGTGGATCTGTACAGGAAAGACCAGAAAGCGTTTTTCAATGCGTTCATCGAGGCGATGACGAGGATGGGGAATATTACGCCTCTCACCGGAAATCAGGGAGAGATAAGGGTGAGCTGCAGGGTGGTGAACTCGAGACGTATGGAAGATATTGATAACGTGATTGAAATGGTCACTTCTATGTGATACTACTATATGTTATAACATCGTGGCATGGCTAACTATGTATGAAATAAATTCCAAAAAAAAAATGTTGAGTGTTGAGTTTTAGTTTGGGGTGTAATAAAAATGTTGTCCTTCTGTGTTTTTTTCCTCTTGTGGTATCTTTTATGTCAATGTTTTGGTTATAATAAATGTCAAATTCATCCCAATATTTTATTGATTTGGAATATTAATCTGATCAATAATTATATATGTTATTTTATTGTCGGTCAATTTATTACATGACTTAGCTGACATATTGTAGTGAATATTAATGTATATAAAGCAATATATTATTGTGTAATTTTTTTTTTTAATGGGTAGAATTGGAAACACACAAAAAGTTAAAATATTATAAATTATTATTGTCATTATCCATTATTAATAAAAGGGTAATTTTAGAACCAAAGTATCAAAAGATACATAGAAAATATCACAAGGAGTATAGTTTCTTATTTTTAATTATGAAATTTTTGTATTTTGTTGGTATTCATGGAAACCAAATATTTGAATTTTTTTTTTAAAAAAGGTCCAGAGTCATCGTCTTCAGTACGGATAATTTTGCACAGCTGTAACGCCAATTTATATTCAAAGGTGTAATGATAAATGAAAAGGATACTTCCAAGGGTACAATTTCATTGGTCGCAACTGTTAGTTTGGTAACCACTTGCCCCCGAATGGTTCATTATTTCCCTCAACGGTTACAACCTGCAGGCATTCATAATTTCCATAGATAGATGAATGATATCATACATAGTGGAAGTGGACCCACATAAAAATGTATTTTAATTTACAAATTAATCATATCACTATGAATTTTGTTTAAAACTCGAGAATCAATTCTCTGACATGATCTTAATTTGATTTATTATTCATTTAAAAAATATAATTATAAATACAAAATTTATAGTCATGTGCACCTGGATGATCTGCATATCCTATTACTACTAACATTAGTTTTAGTTATCTATAACAATTTGTAAAATAAAAATAAAAATTAGAATCAATCATATATTGTCGATAATAAATTTTCTAAACCAGTCATATTTTTTTATATATAATTTCACTGTCCAATAATATAAGAATTGTGTAATATATATCGTATTCCAAGATTAGATTCCACATCACAAAAAATAACAAAATATATAAATTAATTCCCATATATTATTTTTTTTTGTTAAAATTCAATTCCCATATATAATAAGGATTTGAAATAATCAGAAAATCAAGGAGAATGAAGTGTCCGACGTTTACATCTATAAAACGATGTAGCTGAGATGGCTCTCTCATTCATCTCCTAGAACGAACAAAACCAAAAACATGAATTCAAATCCTTCTTCTTCTCCGCCTTCATTCATTTTGAAAACCCTAATAACAGCATTGGGATGTGTATTAATTGTTCTTCATGCGACGTTGTGTAATGCTCAGCTAAGCCCTTCCTTCTACGACCAAACATGTCCGAAGGTCTTCGACGTCGTCAAGGATGCAATCCTCCACGAGTTGAGATCCGATCCCCGCATTGCCGCTAGCATTCTCCGTCTCCATTTCCATGATTGTTTTGTCCATGTAAGAACACATTATATATATATATATATATGTATCTATTGTTGGTTTTCGGTTTTGGTTATTTTTTAGGTTTATTTTGTTATAAAAAAAACTATAGGGATTCGGGTTTAAGTGAATTTGATTCGATTCGAATTTGATTTTTGTTAATAATTTATTTTAAGTTTAGTTTTTGTTAACCTGCCCGAAGATTCATAAAACTCCTTTTCTTTATTGGATTAAATGAATGCATTACTATAGCAAAACAAAACCAGTTTTTTTTCTTTTATCTTTTTGCGTTATTTTTGCATGTTTATCTATAATAAAAGTGGAATTAAAATAACAGAATTCACGTCATGTTTTTTTATTTCAAATATTTAGTCTGGTTGTCATTGAAAGTTAATTCAATGATGAAAAAGGAAACGGAGAATTTAATAGTATATAGTTTGAAAAAGATGCCAAAAGTTTCAGACTTTTTGGTGGATATATTTTTTAATTTCAAGTTGCCTTTTATCGATCCATTGCTCTTATAGATATTATATTACCAAAAAGCGTGGACTACCCCGCACCAAACAAGTTACAAATTATAAAAAATATCCATGAATGACCATGTTACAAAATATATATATATATATATATATATATATATTTATAGGGAAGAATGCTATTATTTGATGTTGAAACTTTAATATATAAAATTCGTGTGAGTAAATATTAATTAAAGCAGTATCTACAGAAATCAAGTTGTGAGAATTAAACATATACATATACACTAACATAAACACATATACCAATTAAGATTTATCATGTCAATACAAATCATATAATATATATCTGGTCGATATTTAAAGTTATATCGTTTGATAACGAACGTTTCACAATATCATATGATCACATATTTCGTTGTGTATATTACGTTAGGGTTGTGATACATCGATCTTGTTAGACAACACGACGTCGTTTAGGACCGAGAAAGACGCCGTTCCGAACGTGAATTCGGCCCGTGGATTCGAAGTCATCGATAGAATGAAAGCCGCCGTGGAGGAAACATGCCCGGGAGTGGTTTCTTGTGCGGATTTGCTCGCCATTGCAGCTCAAGAAGGTGTTTATGTGGTAAGCATATATAATTTCTGTACCTAAATGCAAAAAAAAAAAAAAAATAGTTGTCTAGGGAAAATCGTATAAAATTTCTGAACCAAAATGGTCCATATATAAAGACTGGTCACGGGTTTAGGGTGGATGTAGTCAGATCGAAGGTGCGGAACCATCCTGATTATTAAAAAAAATCGTATAAAATTAACCAAACTTTAGAAAATATGTCAAAAAATAAATCAACTTTTAATTTAATAAATAAATAAATCAAATATTAAAATGTGTCAAAACAAATCTATCAGTTTTCAAGATCGAAAGCTATTTGATACATTGTCTTTAATTACACCGTGGTCCATCGACGATTCTATTTAAATTGTTTGAAATTATTTCATATATAAATTTTAATAGTTTTTAACAATGTTTATTAGAAATTAATGGTTGAGGTATTTTTTGGCACATTTTAAATTTTGATGTATTTATTTATCAAATTAAAAGTTGATGCATTTCTTTGCATATTTTGTGAAGTTTGGGTATTTTTATGAAATTTTCTCTTTCTTTTTTTTTTACTTAACCCTAATCGTTTGTTTTTCAAATCGACGAGGGAATCACAGCGAAACACTAAATTACTATCGATTTGATTTTGATTTGATAGTCGGGTGGTCCTTCATGGATGGTCCCATTGGGAAGAAGAGATAGCTTGGATGCATTTTTCGATCTTGCGAATTCGGCAATTCCTGCTCCATTCTTCACCCTCGACCAACTCAAGGCTAGCTTTGCAGCCGTCGGCCTTGATCGACCGTCCGATCTCGTCGCTCTTTCGGGTAATTAATTCCCCGTGATTCATTTGATTCCAAGAAATACTTTGATCGGCTACAAGTTCGAAAACCCTATTCATCGAAACCACGTACATACATTTAGTATGCAACTATATATAGTTGTCCAATACAAGACATTTTTCTTCACGTTGTAACATTTTGTTTGGTCTAATTAACATGTTAGGCGGTCACACATTTGGGAAAGCCCAATGCCGATTTATATTGGACCGGCTCTACAACTTCAACGGGACAGGCTTGCCCGATCCGACACTGAAGAGAGAATACTTAGGTAAACTTCGGAGATTATGTCCTAAGACCGGAAACAAGAGTGCCCTCGTGGATTTGGACCGAAAGACGCCGAAATTGTTCGATAACAAATATTACTCCAACCTTAGAGAAGGCAAAGGCCTCATCCAAAGCGATCAAGAACTGTTCTCTACTCCCGTGGCCGATGACACCATTGCCTTGGTGAAATTATACAGCAAAGATCGATCTCTGTTTTTCGATGCGTTCGTCGGGGCGATGACGAGGATGGGAAACGTTAAACCTCTAATGGGAGATGAAGGAGAGATCAGGTTGAATTGCAGAGTGGTTAATGATAAGCAGCCTGAGGTTATTAGGGACAGTAGTGCGGATGAACTTGCGAGTTCTATTTGATTAAGACCGAACAAAAAATGTGTGGGTTGGATGTTTTGTTTTTATTTTTTCGAAGTATGTTTTTATATTTTTCTTAGACATAATTTTGAGAGAATTATCAATTTGTGTGATGGTGTAGGGTTTTTTTTGTGATGCTGTTTTTTTTTTGCCTTTTTACCATGAAAAAATTTCAATTTTTCTGATTATATAAAGTAGTGGAAATAAGTTAATAGAAATGATCCAAAAAAAAAAAAGAAACCCTTTATTATTCAGAAATATTTTTTGCAAATTTTCGATAATTCGCGGTATGTTAGAGATTTAATTTTTTTAATCGTTTTGTGATATTTAGATTTTTAACTTCATTAAATTTAAATCTTCGGTAATGACACGAAACACGAATTCTTGAGGCAAGTAGCAAAGTCATATAAAATATTTAATTTGTCCGACGTATCCAATATTCGAGACAACAACAAACCAAAACCCATGTCTACATTTTCTTGTATTTATCAAATAATACTTGAACTAATCCAAAATTGATCTTGATATTCGATTTGGCCATACATGCCCCGACTATTTATTAATTTAATTAAATGCTATAACTCAACGTACGCCAAGTTGCATGAGGATATATATTACCTTATAAAGTTTGAATTTCAAAGATAAGATTAAAATGTATTGAAGTCATCATTGTTTAACTACTACCGTTTACCGTATACTTTGGTGGACAAAGGAACGTGTCATGCACAAATATCCAAAATAAAATAAAATAAAATTGTGACGAATCCTTATAGATCTTATCAACAAAGCGACAAACGCTAAAACCAAACCAATCTAAACCAAAATATACAACCGATATTTAACTAGTTAACCGGAAGATAACCGGAACTTAACCGGTTATATAAATTCGAATACGATTTGTTTGACCGTTACAGTCATTTTATTGTATATGGATGTAATGATGATTTCGAGTGTTAGGTTACAAGACATTCATGAACCTCTATCGTCAAAAGGACAATATCTTTTGTTCATGATTCCCGTGGATAGACTTTTCTCCAGCATGGAATTTAACTAATTCAGACATGTGATAAATGGTCACGATAGGGACAAGGAGATTGAATGTGAACATGAAAGAGAGATGGCATAACCACACGCCAATGTTTCTTTTTCATATAAAAAAAATTCAAAATAAATTTTGTTTGTTACCATTAGCGGACCCAGATACATGTATAATAGGGACAAATTTTAGTATAGGTTAATTAAAGGGGGGAATTAATAATTTTATGTAAAATTTTATAAATATTATAAATAAATAAAAATAAATTAATCAAGTTGAGGGGACCTTTGTGTATGGGTACAATTTTTTATCCATAGATCGATTCCGTATCTAGACCAAAATAACGAACCGTCGATCAATAGATATACCAATAAACCATCGCCATTTTGATGTGTGACATAGGTCTTTAGTAAAGTATTTTTGGACTCTCATGATTATAAAAAAAATGAATAGTTATTTCAATCTGTTCACCTTTGTCTCCACATTTAATGGTAATTTTCTAACATTCAACGAATTATCACATTTATTCCACTTGATAAACTATGTCCCTGTATTACATTTAATGGTACATTGTCCCATAACGATCATCATGGATTCGAATTTAAGTCATAGTATGGCTATTTCCCTAAAAAAAAAATTGATAATCCGGAAGTTCACCGAACCTTTGGTCCGACTACATCTCTCAGAGGACCGGGAAAGCCCACGTGAATACCCCTTCCCACGTTTGGATTTGAACCCAGGGTGAGAGCATGTTTTGCATGTTCTCTCACCACTAGACCACCCAAGTTTGAGTCTATTTTTCTAATTTAATTACAAGTAAAAAACCATCTAAATGACATCTAGACCACAGTCATTTTTTTATTTATAGTTTGTAACATTTGACCCAATTAAATCTTTAAGAGAATCCGAGAAATACAGATGATCCATAAGACCGAGAAAACACGGATATATGCTTTTATCTAAATAGAGACTCGAACCTAAATTGGTTACCAATTAACCGATCAATTCAAGTTACCAATTAACCACTCAATCTTAGATACCTCGGTCATTCTTATTTTGGGTTGAAAAACATGTAAGTTCAAGAACGTTGAAGGAAAATGCGACGTCATTAAATATATGGATTTTGGCTATTTTTTGGAAATTGGAGAGTTTTATTCGACATCTAAAAAAGAAATGGAGAAATTAATTAAGCTAAACTCTTTCAATATTTGGCATGATAAATTTATACGAAAACTATTTATCTTATCAACCAAATCAGTATTGTATGAAGGAAATAATAATCCTGTTAAAAAAAATATATAGATTTAAACGGTTTTCCGAATTTTTTTTTAATAAATTTGAGAGGGATCTTAAAATTTTGTTAGAAAAATTAGCATAATTGTTCTTTTGTTAGGAAAACTATAATAATTTTCTTTTGTAATATGTTTATATAATATAATTTATATAATTTTTCTCCTGAATTTATCAATCATTTCATCTAACCCTAAACTATGTCCATATTTTGTAATATATATATATAAAGCGAAATAGTTTAATACGACAGAATCGTAGGAAGACACCACAAGTTTGCCGAACTGTCTCATGACTATCCACTGCCATGAGACCCTTTATTTTCCGGATTACACTTTCCACCACACACTTTGCTTCTTCTTACATATCAGTACACATACTTTTAAATAGAGCTGGAAAACCCATCTTCGCTCTCCACACCACGAGGTCGCGGATTCACCACCCTACAGTTCAGTCTAATCTCGCCTTGATTTCCGGTAAGGGGCGTAATATTTCCCATCCTTATCATCGATTCCACGAAAGCTCCGAAGAACGCAAACGTGCTACCGCTGTATAACTCCACAAGCGGTTTCGTATCGGCTCCGGGAGTGGAGAAGAGCTCTTGATCGCTTTGAATGAGTCCTTTTCCGACTCTAAGGTTGGAGTAATATTGCTTGTCGAAGGTGTCCGGAGTCACGGGATCGAAATTCGCGAGGACGGTCCCGTCACCGTTCTGAGGGCACAACCGACGAAGTTCGTCGAGGTACGTCGGGTTCAGGGTAGGGTCTGGTCTGCCGGTGTTGTTGAAGTTGTAGAGTCGGTCCAATATGAACTGGCATTGAACTCTTCCGAAGGTGTGACCACCTAAGGATATGAGATGCACAAAAACAAGGTTTTGATGTCCAATAATATAAATTTCAAGAATATTTTTAATAGTCATATTGCACAAAAGGATTACAATTCAAAATGTACGACAACAATTACCGGAAAGAGCGACGAGATCCGAGGTACGGTTGAGGCCGACGGCCGCGAAACTGGCTTTGAGCTGAGGGAGGGTGAAGAATGGAGCCGGGAGAGCGGTATTCGCAAGATCGAAGAAAGCTCGTAAACTGTCCCTTCTTCCCAGTAGAACAGGCCACCATGGACCACCGGACTGCATATATATATATATATATATATATATCATAATTTGTCAATTATCAAATTGTTATATATATTTGTTGACCTATAATGTTAATTCTGATAAAATTTAACTGCACGTATGAAATGGACGTAAAAAGATGTACCAAAGTAACCGAGGTTTGAGCGGCGATGGTGAGGACGTCGGCACAGGAAACGGTCTGAGGGCAGGATCTCTCGATCTCCGCTTTCATTCGATCGATGACGTTGAACCCTCGGGCCGAATTCGCGTTCGGAGCGGCGTCTTTCTCGGTCCGGAACGAGGTTGAGTTGTCTAATAAGATCGATGCGTCACAACCCTAATCAATTATAATTAATTATTAAACATTCGTCCGTGTGGATTTTGATAATTTTTCACAAAATTAATGAAATTAACAAAAACGATATTTATGATATATCACCGCAACAAAACAGTCGTGGAAGTGAAGGCGGAGGATACTGGCCGCGATGCGAGGATCGGTCCTTAGCTCGTCGATGATGACGTTCCGAATGATGCGGAAGACGGGGGGACAGGTCCATATATAGAAGTCGGGCCTTAGCTGAGCACTGACAATGGATCCTTGGAGAAAAACACATACCGAAATTAGGGTTAAGAAAGTGAAAGAAGAAGAAGAGGAAGCCATTTTTCCCAAGAGAAGAAGATGAAGAGTTGACTTGCTAGATGAGAAGATGAAGACAGTTATATAGAGAGGGTAATGATGATACGTGTGAATCATTCTTATTTATAACTTCTTATTATTTCAATTTTTTTATAATATGAAAGTTTACTATTATATATATCTTTTAAAAAGACTCGAAATTGAGTTTATTATTTTAATATTAGTACCCTCTTCCTGCACATATGACTTGTTTGTGAAATAGGTACACCCTAACATGTATATATGTGTATATATATATATATGTATGTATATGTATGTTCAGGTTTTTTTTCTTTAAACATAGCCCCACCATATTTTGAAATTCACTAAAGCACAAGGTGTTTCTCTATTTATAGTTTAAGACGATTTTAGTAAAACATTTGGAAAATGTGCATTATTTCTTCCTCATTTGGTAAGTTGTTATTTTTAGTCTTGGAGATTATACAGCACTAAATAGTTTAATTAATAAATAAACAAAGATCATCTGGTGTAAATATACATGGAAAATATTTTAATTTAATTTCCACCTCGCAATATTAAAGTATATATAATGTCATAGAAAGGAAATATTTTGCAGACTTCAATCCTTTGTTAACCTCAGATGAAAAACCAATGTAAATGAGAAAATTGGTAAATTAAGATATAAAAAAACTTTTAAGTACGTATTTTTTTCATTCCACAGGGATAATCATTTTATCATTTTTCAGTGATAATTAACAAATATACACTAACGCCGAAAAAACAATTTGGACCCATATTTTTTTCAGAAATAAATAAAAATTAGGACATTTGATCACAAATCTATTCCCACGTAACTAATTTTAAAATAATGATGAAGATTTGATTATCATTATTTAATGATAATGATTTTCTAAGGAAATAAAGGAACCCACAATTTTAAAATTACATTTTACCACTACTTGTTTATGGTTTTATTATCATTTTTACATGTCGCATTGGGTAAATGCGATTTTCAAATCCTAAGGACCTTGGCTACCATGTGTTCTCAGTGGATTTTGGAAAGAAGCCACGGGTCCCCTATTCAATCCCAAGGACAAGTTCAACAAATCTATAAGTTGTCGGTTGACGAAGGAAAACACATTAAAAGAAGACTCGTATTAGATATGGTTATTAATTTCCTAATATTTTTTTTTAAAAGAATGATATGGTCGGTCGATTTAGATTGATATACAAGAGCATTTGAACAAACGATTCGGTGAAAGATCTAAGTAATCTCCTTTGATATATTATTTTTTTCGTTGAAAATATATAGTGTGTGGTTTTGGTTTTTATATATTCAATTTGGTGTTATTTTAGTAGAGTAGGGCTCATTAGTCATTGCTCAAGGATAACCACGTATAAATTATAGTTTTACAAAAATTATATCTATTAATTTTTTACATTGATTTTAGATTCGGTTAAGGTTATATTCCGGTTTAACTTTGATTTCTACTTTCATTAAAAAAAAATATTGAGTTGCAAAAGAAAGTTTCGTTTTCGATCGAATCACAAAGTGTTCTCCCGCCCGAATTCGAATTCCATTTGGGGTAAACCATTACAAAAAAAAAAATGGTTTCATTTTAGTTTTTCAATTTTACAAAAAAATTGATTAAAAATAATGCCGATGGTTTTTTTGGATTATATTTGATCTGGATACGATTATATATGATATCGGTTTATTGTTAATCCTTAAATTTTCACAAGATGATTCTTTACCAAAAAAATAAAATGATAAAAATCACATAAATTGATTTAGGGCATCACTAATACTAATCTTAAAAGATCCTAAGAAAATCCTTTGTTCAGATTACATGGTTAACCCAAATCAATACTTCATACATTTCAAATCAATACAACGTAAATATCACATTTCCAGGGAAATACTGATTCAATCTGAAAATGGAAATTATTGTTAACAAATGTTTTTAAAATTACGAATTATGTTGTCATTATTATATTCGATCTTGTTTGAGTTCGGGGTTAAAAATTTGGACACACTTTGCGTTATAGATTCACGTGACAAGAATAGGAATTAACACCATAAAGTTTACCATATGATAAAATGCAACGTGATTATAAGATTTTTGGGTCGTGGTTGAAATAGAAATAATGTTTAGGTAGGAAAAATATAACAAAGACAACGACTTTGAAGATTTTGTTGAGTCTCTTTCTTTGTCTTTGTCTTTGTCATTATGAACAACACGACCTTTCACAACTTGCACATGTTACGTGAATTCTGAATTTTTGTCCCTTTCGTTTGTCGTCTTCTAAATATTTCTTTTTAATTCCAAAAAATAATGCGAATTAGGTTAAGTAGAAATTGTTTTTAAATTAGAATGGCACTGATACTTAATTTTATTCTAAAATAATAAAATAGATATTTATTTATTTATTTCTCCGTAATTGGCAGTAAGGTAATTAGGGTCAGTAGAAAATTATATTCGATTAAAATGGCATTGAAAGGTAATTGAAATAAAATGGATGTTTAATTCATTCATATTCTTGAAATAATTGGAGTTAGGTTTGAGTAGAGATTGTTTTGAAATTTTAAAATGGCACTAATATAAATTAAATTAAAAATGGATATTGAATGTTCATTCTCAAAACAATTGTAATTAGGTTCAGTGGAAAATATAATTTTAAATTAAATGGCAGGAAAAACTTAATTGTCATTTAAATTTGAAAAAGAGAATGGAGATGCGGGGTATCGATCCCCGTACCTCTCGCATGCTAAGCGAGCGCTCTACCATCTGAGCTACATCCCCTATATTTGACAAATCATATAAGCATTAATTGTTGAAATCCATTGATTTAATTTGGATTTATGGAAAAACATACATTAATACCGGAATTTATGGAAAAAAAGTTGATAACTACAATTTTTGAGTGGGAATTGATCATCAATCGATCGGCCCCCGCGCTATCAAATTTCCTTGCATTAGGCACTGCAAGAACATTAAAGGTTGGCGATTCATATTATTCAACTCAAAAAACCATTCATTCAGCTCTAAACCGAATATTAATAAGTTCATTTTGATTTGATTCTAGTATTTGTTAGATTCAAAATAGCTTTGTTATATTAGTAACTTTTAATACATTCGGTTGGATATTTATCAAATTTAATTCGAAAACGGTTGATTCAATTTTATATACCAAATCAAAACAGCATATTATTCGATCTAGTTCGTAAACCATATCAGAAGAGAATCAAAACATAAATGAGATGGAAAAAAAAACTACAAATTAAACAGACCAAGAAAGAAAAACATTGTTTGAGTTTAAGCAAATGTAATTTAAGTCCAATAAAAAAAAGCAGGTGAAAACAAAAACTAAAGATATGGCAACGGAAGAAAGAATCCAAGGATACTAAGCGGTACCCTTGCCCTTCTTCTTCTGGATCTTCTTCATGTAGAATTCCAGCTCTTTACCCTCCAGAATGTAGCTGTCAAGATCGTAAAAAATCGACGTTACAGAATCCGTCAAACCAACACGGGCACAGGAAAATCGGGCGAAAGAAGCAAGATAAGAGGCAAATATATATATGTACCCATCAGCACGACCACATTGGCCGGGCCGTGATGAGATGCAAGCGAGCAATCGACCGCTAGCAAACTGGTCCTCGATGTGTGAGTCAAGAGACCGGTTTTGTTGACGCTTCTCCAGCTTTCTCAGAACATGGTTGCTCTTCTTTGTCTCCTCAGGAGCAGCATCTTCACCTTCCTATAGCCAAAACCCGAAAGCAATATCACCACAACAAGCTTGACGAAACCCAGACAAGAATTTGGCTACACATTATGCAAAGGAACGACAAAAGGCAATGTTGGGTACACTACATTTCTGTTCTGAATCCTCTGGGCACAAAGCCTACACCTTTATAGAAATCTACAATCACAGATTCATGATCTAACCAATGTAATATTACCCTAAAGAAAGTAAACCAATGTAATACTAATCATGGCCCAAGCTCGCCCATCCTACTTTCATGCCAGAGATGATGAAACACAAACAAAAATTTGGTCACACATTACACAAAGGAACAACAAAAGGCAACATAAGGCCCACCACTACATTTATGAGTCCTCTGGTCACAAATTCTATACCTTTATAGCAATCTATGACTGCAAATTCAGTGATCTTAACAAATATACTCGATAGAAGGCCAATTGGTCACAACAATGCAATATTAAACAAGACCCAAACTCACCTCTCCTTCTTTCTTGCCAGAAGTAGCAGCAGTTTTCTTCTTGCGACCGACCTCCACACCGTAATGCTGAAGATACCATTGCTTGAAAGGCGCAACATCGACCTGCACTATAGCGCTCTTGACAAGGGTCTTGGTACGGACAAGCTCATTGTTCGAAGCATTGTACACGACATCAAGGATCCTGGTCTTGCGGGTAACAGCCTCGCTTCCCCAAGAGTAATTCCCAGTGTCAAGCCTCAAAGCACGCCACTTTACATTACCTCCACGAACCCTAACCCTCCTAACAGTCTTGTTGCTGGATAGCTTAGTGTTTGCAGCAACTCTACCCAACTCATACCTTTCATTGAAAAAAACATATATTAGATTACCCAATTGCCTAAAATTCAAAATTAAAGAACACAAAAATCACTCCGCCGCAACAGCAAATTCCGTTGTCATGACAATTCGCGCTCTAAAAAACATGAATCTTATCAATCAGAGACGAACTTATACTTCAGACAGTATCAATGTCACCAATGACAGAATTCAACAAAGGATTAAACAATTTCCCAATGATGGCTAAAGAGACATTATCGATGTTAACACTATCTCACTTTCTATGATTCTTAACTAGCTCTTGTGCCACGAAGGAAAACTCACTTTCGCTTCTTCCTCCATTGCTTCTGCTTCCCACCAGTTGCACGCCTCTTGTGGATCGAATCACGAGAAATACCTAGCAAAAATCAGACTCCATCTCAGATTCCACCAAGAGAAAAGAACAGAGAGACACGATCTAGAACCAATGAAGAAAACGTAGAAGAATATGATGAATCTACCCATCGCGGCAACGGAGGTGTGCTAGGGTTTCTTCTATCCCTCTCCCGCTGAGACGCCGATGTTTCGAGGTGTGTGTTTAAAAGAAAAAACCCTAGTAACTTAATCTCAACCGAAATTACCGAAATACCCTTAAACATCTTGGGCTCATGGGCTCATGGGCTCATGACAAGTTTCAGGCCCATAAAACACAATAGCCTCGATTTCCGAAGAAAATTATTTGATTTTAAATTAAATATTTGTTGGTCTATTAAAAAATTACTATTTGAATTTTGATGCGATCACGCATTCTTTTTGTGACAATTTTGATAGTTTTTTGACGAGTTCAAAGTTTGAGTTTTTTCAATGTTTTTCCGCCAAATTGAATCTTTGATTCAGCGTTCAAAGTCGGCTTCTGATCTTCTGCAACTACTGTCGCTGATCATCAAAACCTCTTTCAATCACGACCCTTACATCATCTCTCTTGCGGTCTCATCCTCGACTCGTGTTTCGATCAATCTCGCGAGATCGGTCTTTGATTCCCTTAACGTTGAATCACCACCCCTTTTCGCATGGAATTCGCTTATAAGAGCGTACACGGAGACCGCTACACCGATCGAATCGGTGAAATTGTTTACCCGAATGCGGAATTCTGGTCTCGAGCCGGATAAATTCACGTACCCATTTGTGTTGAAGGCCTGTGGTCGATGTTCGATGATTAGAGAAGGGAAGGTGGTGCATTCGATGGTTTTGAAAGTTGGGCTAAATTCGGATAAGTATATATTGAATACACTCCTTCGAATGTACTCTGCCTGCGGAGAAATCGAGCTCGCGGAGAAGGTGTTCGATGAAATGCCTCTTAGGGATGTCGTTTCTTGGAGCTCGATGATCGCTGGGTATGTTTCCTGGTAAGTTTGAGACGACGATTGCGTGACAAGTATTAATTTTTTAATATCAGTTTTCACCATTCCTTGGCTTTAAATTCGAACTCGGTACTGTATATACTGACACAAAGTTACTTTGGTATTTTTTGGAGTAAATTAGAGAACAAGAATATCAGAATTGTGTCCTGCTCTCATTATTTTGATGAATATATGATGCGTATACTTTTCATATATCGTTATTTGCTTGCAGAGCATTTCTAAAGAGCAAATCTTATCGTTTTTTTGGGCATTCACCATGATCAATATGCTGGACAAAGTTGCCATTTTTTTCTGAGACACTAATTTGTATAATTTCTATACATATATTTACATACATGTAGATCACATGCGTAAGTTGCATTGTTTTATAGATTCTATTCCTTTTTATAATCTCTGGATAGCTTATTGCTGCATAGAAAACCGGTATCTGGTCAATGTGGTCATAGAGTCGAACTATAATCGCTTCTCCTTCTGTGATATTTACGGGCTAATGATTGCTGAATCCTCTGTCTTGTGTTTCACCATGCTGAAATTTGATGAGACCACACACCCTTTTGCAGCAATTGCCCGAGCGTTGCAGTCAAAGTTTTTCGGCACATGAAGTTGGCTAATGAAGTGCCAAACTCGGTCACGTTGGTGAGCTTGCTTCAAGCTTTAACCCGCCTGTCTGATGAGAAAACAGGGAAAACTGTTCATTCATACATCATTACCAACAGCATAGAGCTGGATGTTTCTCTTGGAACTGCCCTAGTCGAGATGTATTCACGGTGTGGGCATGTTGAGGAGGCATTACGAGTTTTTCATTCGATGAAAGATAAGAATCTGCAGACGTGGACAGTAATGATATCGGGTCTTGCCGATAACGGTTATGGGAATAAAGCTATTGGGGTTTTCACCCAGATGGAGCAGATCTGTCTGATACCAGACAGCGTATCCTTTTCAGCTCTCCTTTCAGCTTGTGGACGCTCGGGTCTTATTGACGAGGGAAAAATGCTTTTTGGTCGAATGTTAACCGTTTATGGGATCAGGCCAACAATTGAGCATTATGGATGCATGGTGGATTTATATGGGAGGGCAGGCTTGATCGACGCAGCTTATGGAATCATCAGGAATATGTGGATGGAACCAAATGGAGTAATATTAAGGAGCTTCCTGGGTTCCTGCAAAAATCATGGCCGGTTTATTTTGGATGATTATGTGAAGAAACTTCTGTTCAAGCTAGAGCCTGAGCTCGGGGCAAATTATGTTCTTGCTGCGAGTGTTTCCTCTTTATCCAGTTCATGGGATGATGCAGCTGACTTAAGAACCATTATGAAACAAAAGGGTCTTAATAAGGTTCCTGGATACAGTTGGGTGTTGTGAATGAGAGAATATGGAGTTAGCCCAGGTGCATGCGGATGTTAATTTGCTTTGCTCTTCACTATTCTCATTGCTGGTTTGATTAATGAATGCCTGCCCACTATATCCAGTCAGGTACCTCATCTATACAATGTTACATTTTCTGATACTAAATAGAGAAGTGACTTTTCATATCTTATTACCATATAGTATAACATGTAGATAGAGAAAATACATTAGAACTCTAGGTTGAATTGTTCATATAATCATATGATAATATCCTCATACTCTTATACGGGATGACTCCAAAACTCTGCAGCCCAAGAGTCGGAGGGCAACATACTCGGCATTTTCCACTTCCACAGCGCTTGCTTTTCGAGGTACAAAACTGTTTTCCTAATACAAATCTATATAAAATACGCAATTTTGTTGTCAAGGTCTTGGAACGCTCCTCCTGTTCTGTATACTCAGAAACATCATCTTGTTCTTGGTTCCAAGCCCAGATTCTTGGTCAAGCGTGTTAATTAATGTCCCTAACTAATCCGCGGTCTGCTTGGTCAATGTTCATCTTTTATTACTCAACCAACAAACATAAATGGGTCTTGATTGCACAAAACGTTTTTTTTTTCCTACTCCACGGGAAGTTACTTCCAATCTAAACGTGAAAATGGTACTAACTTACAACCTCGGTGAAAAAGTAAGCTTCTGCTTAATGTTTTATTACGAAAGTAATTTATATTTTTCGCAGGTTGGAGATTTATGGTTGCTCTGATTCATGAAGAATTTCTGGTGATACTAATAGGTTCGTTCTGATCAGCTTTTGCATAACATGCCTTCCATTAATGCACTCTCACAAGCCCTTTTTTTGCTTAAAGCTGATCCATAATTTCTACTTTTTCCCTTTCTGCTAATCATGAGTTGCAATAATTTTGTGCTGAAATTCCCTTTTACAAAAAAAAAAACGTCGAAACTCATATAATTATGTTCAGTCTTTGCACAATGATTAGTACTCATGGTATTTTTATTTCCTTTTTTACATCAATGTTTTTAACATATGGTTTTGTCCACCTAAATCTCTATGATTTTTCGGAGGCTATCTTCGAAAATAACGTAAACGTGTGTTTTCATATGCGAATGTGCGGATGAATGTATAACATATATCTATCATATTGCATTTTGCAGGGAGTTTTAGGAACCCTTAACCGGGTTTAACCAGAGAGAATATAAAAGGACCAGACTTTCTTCACGTGGTTTCACATGGAGGTATGTAAAAAAATATAAACTTTGAAGGTAGATTCTTGGTGGAATAATTAATTGAGTAAAAAGGACGAAAAGCAGACTTGTACGACTTGAATTATTTTTGTCTTAAGGCTAATCAAAGCATCAAACAGCATTACATAGGCATGGCAATTATATAAGGGCGTGACATGCTCATACGTACTTGCCCTTCGCAGTCTTCATCTTGTACACTCGCTTTCACATATCTTAAAAGCTTCTTCCATGGCGTTGCATCCAACTCCGAGAGATTTTTCGAGTTACAGTCCTTCGGAGAAATGGGTCCTCTCTGCCGTGGCCGTAAGCCTTTGTGGGTTTTTGGTTTATGTCATCTATGATGCGATACTGGGCACTGCCTGCGAGCTTTTGCAGAGGTTTCTTGCTGTTTCTCCTCTGTTATTGATCATTACCGTTCACTGGCTCTCGACCGGCTGTCATGTCAGCGTTCCTTTTCCGGGATCAGAGCCAAGCGCCATCCATCGGGCCGGTGGCTTCCCCTGGGGCGTGGCTTTGGTGCTTCTGTTTCTCCTCTATCATGTTTTGCCTGCCTTTTGCATCTGCCTCTTTGTAAGCTTCTTGTTCATGCATACATGTGTTTAGAGATATAACTGTAACAATGATCATGCCAAGAAATTCCTCAACCCTTTATGTCTTGCTCCCACATATATATATACACAACACATATATATATATATATGTTATGGATGTGAATATGTATTCGAGCACGATATGAAATGTATATCGTTATAGCTAACTTGCTACAATCTTCCTATGGTTTGTAGTCTTCTTGTATGATTTTGATGTGTATTCATTCATTGCTTTCTCTGTTACACATTGCCTCTAACGAAACCAAATTCGATAATTTAGGATATGATTTTATTTCACTCTGGTTTCGAGGTATCCAAATGTCTTGAAAATACCACTAAACTTATTTTTTTAATGATAATCATGATATTTAGTACAAATTTAAAAACCTTTGATATACGTAAAATAGACTTATCAAGAACGTTGTTCTTAATAAATGGTATAGGCATTTGTTTTGTAGAATTCCGACTTTATAAGATACAAAATTTTAAATACAACACAAAAAAAGTTCAAAACCAAATCGCAACTATAATATGTAAACTGAATTTTCTCATGATTTCCAATAATTTGATAGAAATGTGTTAAAAAAAAAAAAAAATCGGCTCAATCACAACACGGCCTCAAAATTTTATGGCAAATTATTTCATGTTTGATGGCTTTGTTTTGTTCTTTCTTTTTTTTTTAAAATTTAATCAAACTATTTTACTCAAGGGAAAAAAATGGAACAGAACAGAAAGGGACAAGCATTTTATTTTATTTTTTTGGACATTTTGCCATTTATTTTGTTGGTTATTGACCAATTCTGTTGACCAACCTAATAACTGACTTTACGGAGAATCACATAAAACTGTGTAATATATATATATATATATAAGCGTTATACAACTATAAATATACGCATTATACATCTAACAATTAAAAATTTTGAAGTATAAAATAGGGATCCGTTTTAATTTGGTCAAACAAGAAGATGGAAATTATTGAGCTGCTGACCGTGATAGTATTGCTATTTTAATTCACACTTCAACGATTAACATGAGTTGCGCATTGCTTATTATATATTTTTTTTAAAATATAGTCTTAATACAAATATCGTGATTATAAACTCTGAAGTATTATTAACTTTTGGTTTAACTGATTTGAAAAGTTTTATGGGTTGTTATCGGAACCATTATTTTTTATCGTAATTAAAAAAATAATGTGGAAAATTGTCATAAAGGAACATTTGGACCAAATGTGTGGATGTGAGTTTACTTACATCTCCTCTTTAGGCGAAAACTTTCGCGATCGGTCGCCCACTCTTTCAAAAGCTTACGCCGATTTCATAATTTTTATTTTCACATTTTTGTTTATATATATATATATATATAATATTTAAAATAAATATTAAAAATTACAAAAAAAAAAAAGAGTTTAAGACTCGGGTGTTGGAATAAAATGAGAGAGATGAGGAGCTCATCATCCCTATCCGAATCACCTAAAAATGACCCACAAGGATCTTATGACATCATACCATACGTCATTTTTCTCATGTGGAATCCAAACTTGAAACTTTAATTGTTATACCAAATTCTATTTTTCGTTCAAATCGCGCATCTAAAATGTAAAAATCTACAACTTGACGAGAAATATCGAATTTAACAGTTATATTATTTCACGAAATAATTTATTTTAGAAAAGAGCGTATATTCGAGATCATCTTCAAAGTAAACAAGAAAAAAAAAAAGAGGATAATTATTATTTTTAATAGTGAAAATTCTATAAAGATACCAAATTTTTTCTATTTGTGTGTATAAACACCAAAATTTTTAAATTTCTAAATAAATACTCTAACTTGATCAATTTATGCCAAATTAACACCGGCTAATATTATCTATATGATATGAATTGATTAAATCGATGTATTTATCTTGTAATTTAGAAATTAAAGTATTTATTTAGCATATTTGGACAAATTTCGATATTTTTTTAAAATTCCCTTCTTAATAATATACTATACGCGTGATTGAACATATTATATATCCAGTCTAAATATTGTTTTCTATGCAATGATTACCATTTAATCAAATATAAATCAATATAATATAGATAAAAAAGCTTCGGCCCATAAATCAATATAATATAGATAACAATCTATATATATATGATCACATTGACGTTAACATCTACCATGACATTATCAAGTACAGACGTCGACGCGTTACATTGCAGCAGACATCATCCTTAAAAGGATACAAAAAAAAAGAAGAAGATCCAATAACCAAAATGATTCCAATCTAAATCACTATTAAAAAAAAAAATACAAAACCTAACCCTCAAATCAAACACATACATACACAAACACATACATACATACATACATACATACATACATACATACATACATACATACATACATACATATGTCCAGAATATTCCAGTAATCTGCTTAATCTCCTTCCAAAGACCGAATATTTTCACATGATATTTTCCGACAACAAACCTCGTTAATTACCAAATTAAGACAAAAAAAACCATACTAAGACCCGAGGGGGAACCATCTCTCGTGGAAGTAAGACTGGTAAGAGACCATGACCAAGATGACGGCGAGCACGGCGGCGACACCCCACGGCGAGCCACCGGCGCGGTGGATGGAGTCTTGCTCCGGCCACGGCACGAAGAAGGAGAGACCGCCGGAGAAAAAGTGGAGGAGGAGGAGGAGAAGGACGGGTGAGAGCATGACGAAGAGCTTCAGCTGATTCAAGGCGTCATCGAGAACGGACTCGTAGTTCAAGTAACAGGAGAGAGAGAAAACGAAGAAGACGACGACGATGAAGAAGAGGAGATGAGGGTTTGGGACTGAAATATATTCCAAGTATGATGAGTTGTAGATTGATCTCGCCATTGTTTTTCTTCTTTCTTCTTTCTTTCCCTTTTGTTCTCGTGTGATTGTCTATATATAGGGGAACTAATTGTGTGGTGTGGGAGAAAATTAATAAATTTCTAAATAGTTAGCATATTGTAAAATGGCCCTTATACTATTCAAGATTTTCAAAATAAGCCTTTAACTTTAGGTATTACAAAATTAAAACGTATCGTCAAGGTTCAAGTAAGCCAACCTTAATTTCTCGATTTCCGAAAATATGGAATAGTACATCTTTATTTATAATTTTCCTATTCAGTTTTAATATATATATATATATATATATATATATATATATATATATGTGAATACGAGATTAGAATTAGATAATATGTAATAAATTAAAAAAAATATATAATCATATGATCTATCATTCCAATTTTTTTGTACATGTTGTAATGTCCTAAATTTCATATTTAAATCTTATGCATTACGAATAAATTACGTATAGACCTTATATAAAAGTACAGGGTATATTCTGGTAAAATTAAAATTGCATGCGCTATTTGTGATTCTTCCGATAGTACGGGGCTTTTTTTCTGCAAATTGCAATATCTACCAAATAGTTTTTTTAGTGGTCGGCTGTAGTCACGTGGATGTGTCCGTCGTCTTTGTGTGCTTTGATGTGAATCTGTATTTTAATATTAGATCAGAAATTATATTTAATTTTAAGACGGAAACTAATGCATATTTTTAAAATTATAATTTTCAATTGACATGTAAATTGTTTTTACCTAAATATTACATCAGAATTCGTGTCAAGAATATATTTCTTTTTTAATTAGTATTGCTTACTTATTTCATAAATAAATATCTACTTTCTTATTTTAATTTTGTTTTCCACACTTATTTATTTCATTTATGATGTTATAAAAGATAGCATTAAGAAAAAGGTTAACATTAAATATTTAAATATTTTATTACCCATAATTCTCCATCTCTGAATAAAATTACTGAAAACGCATGTAAGTAAATTTAAGCTTTGAATGGTATTAGTTTTTATTTTGGGTTTTTGGCTTTAGTTTTTGTTTTTGGTTTTTGGCTTTTGGATTCTGAAAGTTTATAAATCTAAAAAAAGATAGCTTTTAGTTTTTAGTTGATTTTTTTCATAAAGTAGATTTCCGAATTTTTAGGAAAACCAAATTTTAAAAAACTTGATTATCGGTTTTTTCACTTTTTGAAATCCAAAAACTCTGAAAACCATCTCTCATTCAACACCTTAGTTTATTTTTTATAACTAGCTACTTTTTCCTTTTGATTTTTTTTTCTATTTTTCATCTTTCATGTTCACAAAACTGAAAGAGTTAGATGATTTTTTTTTAAATCTGATGTTTAATTTGTTTATTTTAAATCTTAACGGAAAAAAACTCGATTCAATGAAAAATCAAACAAAAAATCTTAATTAATAAGTCATTTTTTGTAAAAAAAAAAATAATAAGTCAATTTTTTGTAAAAAAAATTAATAAGTCAATTGTCTTATATATATAAATCGTTTATTACCCAACAATTATTTGTCGTATTGCTTGATTGTCGTGCACTGCGTGAGTGAGTCGTGACCCAATAGGGTTGCGATTTATTTTACTTTTCTTTCCTCTTTTTTTTCTTCTTTTCCTTTTTCAATATCTATATATTATACTTTATAGAAAGATATGGAAAGTATATGTTAGAGTGCATTTTTAATGAAATAATTATAAATATTAAAAAAAGAGAGAGAAAAAGGATAATATAAAATAATAATAGCTTTAATTTCTCTCATATTTATTTTTTCAGAGTAAAATAACATTATATAAAAAACTATAAAATTTTCTAAAAAATTATATAAATAAATAAATTTTGTAAAATCTTAGTAAATAGTAGATGATTTTTTTACGATTAATTTTCAGTAAATTTTTTTATATAAATATAAAATTTGAAGATTTTTTTTTTTGTATTTGTCCCTCTTAAGTATTATATTTCCGTTGAACAGGTATTCGTTCGCTCATATTACACGTGTCAACACCAAATCAATACTACATAAGCAAATATGGCAAGCTAGCAAAATTAAAAAATAGTTCTCATACACACATATATATATAAACATGCATACATATATTCTACATATACATGCATATATATGCATAGATATATACATATATAAATACATACAACCTATATCACGTCACATAACTTCTGAAAACAAAAGTACGTATTATGATTCCTTCTTATTCTTTTCCCATTGTATTGTTTTTAAATAAGTTTGAATTCTCAACGATGTTCTTCTGATATGGTTTTGATAGTCTTTTTTCGATAACTTTGTTACATGTCTACTATAATTATTTAGTTTTTATTCTTACGTTTACTATCTTCGGATTCAAACTTTATTATGATTTTGATCCATAAAGCAACTATATATTTTTTGTAACTTTTGTGTGTTTTGGTGTTTGATTATGAAGAGAAGAACAAAAATAATTGAACTACAATAAAGAAGAAGAAGTGATGATCGAAAATGTTTGCAGACATTGTCCCTTGTATTTTTCTTATTAATTTACATCAATATAAAACTATATTTATATACAAGAGGGTAACGGATATAATATCAAGAAATAATGTACACTATCCTAAATGGAGAGCAAATTTTATTTGTTACCATAATGGAATTTAAATACAAAAAGAAAGAGGACCAACGACTATTGAGAATATGGAAGATGGAGCTCTTATGAAAATAATCTTGATTGTCTCCTGTTGGTAATGTGTTGATTGATTATATGAGGTGATTTGGCACCGTCTAGAATATTCCATCCATGAGTGACGTTGCATGGTGACTTGGTTGGGTGCTCCATGCAATCCATGCAAACCCTTTGGACGTCTATCACGTGTTTGATAATCGTGTCTTCAACATTCTCCCTCAAGATTGGTTTGAAAGAATCTCGAAAAACCAATCTTGAAAAACGAATGCTTTCTTGATTGTGTTGATTCGTGCTCAAGCGTTCCTTCTTTTTCAACGATAGTTCCTTTGATTTCATGAGCTGAATATATGCCACTTTCAATTTTATTTTCTGCATCCACTCAAAGAACGTGTTAGTAAACATAAGGGAGGCCGTAGCACTCCGTTTTGAAATACATTTTAATTTAAACTTTTCTATATTTTTCATATCAAAGAGTAACAAAAATAGTATTCTAGTGTGATAATATGTAAGTTTTAATGTCATTTTTTCAAGGTATACTAGGTGTTTATCATAAACTTCAAATGTATCATACATGATCTTAAAAGATAAATGAAAGAGAGTTACCGAGTCTAGATTTGTTGAAACTTATAGGGAACAACTCCTTATAATTTTGCTCAAATGTTTGCCTTGATGTTTCCTCATGTGTCGTGGCCTTTTTGTTAGAGAAGAGTATGAGGGTTCTATCACATTCCCCCTCACTCGTAGACTTCTCTATACAATAATTCTTCATGGAATTTATTTTCATGTTCGGTTCAAAAACACTTAAACAATCCAACATATTATTTGCGAAAGAGATATCGATTTGAACAGGGCAAAGGAAGGGACTACAACCTCTATCTTGTAACCATATGATGGTAGTTCTCGGATTTTGTGTAAGAGATGGAAAGGGATGTATGCTCATTTGGGTTTTTTTTCCGGGGTTCTTCGCCTCCTTTGTTAGATCCTCTAATATGACAACCGATTCATCTTATACTTTTTCTTCCTCTTTGTTTGTATCCGGCGCCAAAGTCTCCATGTAGATCGAGCTTTTGGTGGTTTCTTCATGGTTTTCCTTAATCAAGTCAACAAACTCATTAGAATTAAAGAGAAATTCAATGAGTTGAGAAGTTAACCGAATATTGTGTGTATGTGAACAAAGCCTCCTTGACTTATAATGAGAGTTAATCAAGGATGTCTTCTTGTATGGTTTATGCATATATACACTAACCAAAATAATAGTTTTTTTCTATATTTATATATAAGATGTTAGAAAAATATAGATGAAATCTTTTATAAAAAAAAAAGAAGATGAAATCTAGTACATAATTGGAAAGAACACAAGGAAGACTGGAAAACTACCATTTACTATGAAAAAGCTATAATGGGAAAGAGAAAAAGACAATTTACCCATCCACTTGCAAACTTCACTAAACCCTCTTTTTGGTAAATGTAAATGTATTAAAAAAAACAATAAAAAATCCCAAAAACTAAGTCAAGAACATTCAAGTCTTTTTTTTCTTACAAAACTTGAACCATTATTCAAACTATAGACCAGAATTATGTCTTTGTCTATAATTATAATACTATAATATATATATATATATATATTGCACATTTTGGTTGGTGTAAAGTTGAAATATATATATATATGTGTGTGTGTTATCCAATTTGTTCTAAATATGCTAAAATATGCTTATATATATTGTACAACCAAATGCTCTTTCGAATCTCAATTTGTGGAGTAAGATGAGCCAATTTAAAAGACTATTCTCACACAATCCATGGATTACATTAAGGATTAATCATACGTAGATATCGATAGCGCATATTTCATTTTCTTGTTTAGAAATATTTATTTAATGTCAATTCATTTATCATCTCGACCACGATCAAAATAATATATCATTAGTTGCACCAACCCTAAGTTTTCTTTAATAGTGTACATGAATTTCAATATCTTCTCATCTCTTACCGTAAAACCCTAATTCCGACCACCGGGAAAGAGCATGACTCGTGCGGAACACCCATCGGCCGAAGTTTCTTGGGTTCAAGAAAGAAAAACTTATCCACTTCCGAAATTCTGAGTATATTGGCATGACATTGTGGTTGCCCAAAACCCTAGCTCTGTCGCAGTCGTCAATCCTGTAACAACTCGGCGACATGATTCGGCCTTGTGGAGATATATTATCGACAACCCTTTAACCCTAGGATCGAAATTGAGCTCCAACATTGTCGGAAAAGCTCGCGGTTTATATGCCGGTACGTCGTCAAAGGGAAGAGGTGTCGTTTATGACGATGAATTTCAATCTGACGGAAGGAAAATATATATAAGGGAAGCACGATCACGGTTTTCGGGCAAAACCCGATTGCCCGGAAGGTGAGGGAGATGCCTGTGTTGGAGGGAGCGGGATTCTCCGATTGGCCAGCGGGTATGTTCTTGCAAGAACGTACGAGGTTGTTGACAGGAGTGCACTTGTGGAGAATAATTGTTATGTTTTGCTGCCTATGTGACCGGTTTGGTTATAAAATGTGGCATATGATAAGCAACGGTTGGAATAAAATTAAGCCAATTAATAATATTGCAGAGCCAATGAAATTATTCTGGGTCTGGGACCCACATTTGATCCAGTGATTTAATAACTCATGTTATCATTTTTAAAGTTGAAGATTGGGACACGTGTCATGATTTCATTAGCATATCCCCACCATGCACGCATTTCTATTTTCTCTGCATTTCTTAAAATATATAATCGTGGTTCTTCTTCTGATGTAATATTTTTTTAAATAAATTCGAAAGATCAACCTAGAATTTTCGCGTATTGCGTTAGATAAGTTTTTTTATTTTATTTTTTTCTATTTTTTTTACATATGAACGAACTATTATAATCTTATTTATTTATTTTTATATGCTTTTACAATTTTTTTAAATATCGTATCTGATTTAAAACTTACATTAACGTTAAAAATAAAAATTAAGTGATTCAATTTGATTTATTCTAGTTTTAATATTATCTTACATTTTCACATGCTACTGCAATTTGCAATTTGAAGTTAAATTAAAATATAATTTTTTTATTTCTATTACGTAAAAGGGGTTAAAAGACAAAAAAACAGTAAAAGTAAATTGAGAAAAAGAAATATATATATATATATATATTAAATAAAATATTCAATAATGCAAAACATAGCAATTATACTCCACGACCGCATTCCCTGTCTTGGTATCAAACTCATGAGTTCTTGCCTGAACATAACCTCTGGCGAAACGGAAGAGCCCACTTCCTCCGATCACCGGCATCTCTCTCACCTTCTCGAAAACGGGGTTTCGCCCGAACACCGTTATCGTGCTGCCGTTGTATTTCCCGTCGAAAAACGCGAAGTTCATCGCCATTAGCAATCCAACTTCCTCCTTAGAAGAAGCGGCGTACAACCCCTGCGCTCTTCCCACCATCTTGGAGCTCAGTTTCGGTCCTAACGTTAACGGATTATCGATCATCCGGACGAGGCCGAAGCCGGTGGAAGAGTAGTTCTTTGGGGGGTTCATGATTAGGACAGAACTTGGGTCTTGTCCGTTCACGATGTCGTGCCAGTATGCTCTGAAGTGTGTGAGCTTTTCTTTCTTGTTCCCCAAGAAGCCTTGATCGAGGGCTTCTCCCTTGGTCGGGATTAGGGTTAGGGTTAGGGTTAGGGAAGAGACAAGGAGGAAGAAGAAGGATATGGGCTTGGCCATGGCGAAGTGTTTCTACTCTTAGTGAGGTTTGTGGTTTATGTGTCACACTATGTGTATATATATATACATATATATATATTTACGTAGAAATTCTAGAAAGTTATTATGAATTTGGTGGTTGTGATGTAATGATGTTTGGTAGGTACACCTAACGGAACTTTTTGAAAAGGACACCAAAAAACTCCGTAATGGGTCGTTGACGTATACAATAAGGTCGAACAATATGTAAAATAACCTCATTTTGAGTAAACATAGACTCCTCGATGGTCATTGCCAAATAATGAAACATATACTTATTTAAATAAGTAAATAACTAACTTAGGCCTCGCAGCATTTGGAATATATATACATACATATATGGGAATAAATTTAATTGGTTGTAATTGTCGCTCTTTAAATATTTCTTTTAAAAATTTATGATACAACCAGAGATATTATTAAAAGACAACAGCTTTTTAGTTCTGTTTAACCTCATACAAAATTTCTTATTTTTTTCTTTTAGTTAGTTTTATGTTTTCAATATTAAATACGTGGAAATTTCCACTTTCACCCAACAGTGGGCGGCCCAGTGGCGAAGAGGTGACAAAGTCATCCTCGACGTCCTGAGTTCGAATCCACCGGTGGGGAGGAGGGGGCGCAATTAATTGCGTGTCTAAAGGCTGACTCCGGGGCCACTTAATCCCCCTGGGCTACTTAATCCCCCTGGGCCCGGAATCAGCCTTTACACGCAATTAATTGCGTCCCCTCTCACCTTCTCGAAAACGGGGTTTCGCCCGAACACCGTTATCGTGCTGCCGTTGTATTTCCCGTCGAAAAACGCGAAGTTCATCGCCATTAGCAATCCAACTTCCTCCTTAGAAGAAGCGGCGTACAACCCCTGCGCTCTTCCCACCATCTTGGAGCTCAGTTTCGGTCCTAACGTTAACGGATTATCGATCATCCGGACGAGGCCGAAGCCGGTGGAAGAGTAGTTCTTTGGGGGGTTCATGATTAGGACAGAACTTGGGTCTTGTCCGTTCACGATGTCGTGCCAGTATGCTCTGAAGTGTGTGAGCTTTTCTTTCTTGTTCCCCAAGAAGCCTTGATCGAGGGCTTCTCCCTTGGTCGGGATTAGGGTTAGGGTTAGGGTTAGGGAAGAGACAAGGAGGAAGAAGAAGGATATGGGCTTGGCCATGGCGAAGTGTTTCTACTCTTAGTGAGGTTTGTGGTTTATGTGTCACACTATGTGTATATATATATACATATATATATATTTACGTAGAAATTCTAGAAAGTTATTATGAATTTGGTGGTTGTGATGTAATGATGTTTGGTAGGTACACCTAACGGAACTTTTTGAAAAGGACACCAAAAAACTCCGTAATGGGTCGTTGACGTATACAATAAGGTCGAACAATATGTAAAATAACCTCATTTTGAGTAAACATAGACTCCTCGATGGTCATTGCCAAATAATGAAACATATACTTATTTAAATAAGTAAATAACTAACTTAGGCCTCGCAGCATTTGGAATATATATACATACATATATGGGAATAAATTTAATTGGTTGTAATTGTCGCTCTTTAAATATTTCTTTTAAAAATTTATGATACAACCAGAGATATTATTAAAAGACAACAGCTTTTTAGTTCTGTTTAACCTCATACAAAATTTCTTATTTTTTTCTTTTAGTTAGTTTTATGTTTTCAATATTAAATACGTGGAAATTTCCACTTTCACCCAACAGTGGGCGGCCCAGTGGCGAAGAGGTGACAAAGTCATCCTCGACGTCCTGAGTTCGAATCCACCGGTGGGGAGGAGGGGGCGCAATTAATTGCGTGTCTAAAGGCTGACTCCGGGGCCACTTAATCCCCCTGGGCTACTTAATCCCCCTGGGCCCGGAATCAGCCTTTACACGCAATTAATTGCGTCCCCTCTTCCCCACCGGTGGATTCGAACTCAGGACGTCGAGGATGACTTTGTCACCTCTTCGCCACTGGGCCGCCCACTGTTGGGTGAAAGTGGAGAAAGTTAAATTCTGACAATTCATATTTCCACTTGTTTTTGTTGAAGATGAAAAGACAAGTGTTGCTATTTGAGGGAAAACCTACAATGAAATTAACAAGGAAAATGCAATAAATGTATATATAAAAAAACCATAGTATTTTGTTTCTTGTATAAATATATTAATTTTTAAAATATGAAAACATTCCACATAAACTAAGCGCACTAATACTAAATATCTGATTTTTTTTACTTCAAATTTTAAAACAATTCCAAAACACCGAAGAAAGAGCAGTACACGAGTTGGATATAAGATTCGTTTTAAAATATATATCTATATATATATATTACGATCTTATTTTTTGAAATATGTTTATTAATATCAAAATTCGTATTTCCACCATATCCGACAAAAACATCTTAGAAGAACCCTATAATTTGAATTCAAAAGGTGGTGTGGATCCATGTATACATCAAGGTTTAGGGAACGTAAACAATAATTTATAATTGATCTATTTTTTTTAAATACTCTTTTAAGAAGATAATTTATTGTCTTAATTACTGATTAAAAGCGGATTCACGATCATCCCCTTGGAATTATCTTTCTGGAAACACTAGTGGATAGGGATTGGGGTGTTCCTGAAGCTTTTGAAAGTTATGGTATTATTTTGTCATTTTCGTAATCTTAGGATATTACAAAGATGGGACCATTATCCCCAATCTCTCCTCTCCACAACCACCAATTGAACTTCCCACAAATCATTCAAATGCTCAGAAATGATACTCCGCTAATTGGATAATTCATTAATATATATATATATATATATATATATATATATATATATATATATATATATA